AACAAGTTGGGAGTCTTTCTTAGCTCTTGATGGCCAATCCAATTCTAATACTTTAATCAAATAAGAATCAAACTAATATTAATTTGTTAGAAATAATAATAACAATAATATTATACAAGGTCATATTAAATATTTATCAAATCAAGATCAATTTTTTGAAAATTTTCTATATTACCAAAAAAAATATTTCTATCTGCTTTAACTTAACTGTTTATAAACAAATATAAACTATTTATAAACTATTTTTATTGTGATTTTACCTAATAGTATTTTTTTTATTTTAGAAGTTTTTTATGCAATAGGTTAGTATTAACTTAAATGGATATTTAACATAATAATAAAATTATTAATTAATTAATAAATTTTACATTTTATGTTTGTTTGCAATAAAAAAAATATGTAATATTATTTATTATTATAGTTATAGATATTATTGTTATATTGATATAATTATTGATAATATAATTTTATTTTAATTATTATTATTAAAAGTGATTTTGTTTATATTAATTATTGTATTATATAAAGATAATTATTTTTGATGTAATTTTAAAATTTATATTATATATGTATTGTTTAAAAGTTGAGTTCAAAAAATTATATTTAACATTTTTGTTACCTTCCAAAATAATTATTCATATTGATAATATAGATTTGTTTTGATATTTAATAATATTTAATTAATTGAATTTGAAATAATAATTAATTAATAAAAATAATCTGATTATGATTTTTTGATTAAAAACTTTTTAAATAACAATTTTTGATTTTTTGTAATATAACAAAATATGTTAGGTGATATTGAGAAGTAGATATTGTATATATTATTAATACTTTAAATTAATAATATAAAAAGTTTTGATATAAAATTTTATTTTTAAGTAAAAGAAAAAAATATTGATTTATTTAATAAAAAATAGATATTGATAAAAAGTAAAAATCAAAAAAATTTTAAAAGTTTTTTCCTATACAATTTAAAGAAAGAACAAGATTTTTAAATTTGTTTTTTCTTAATCAAAGGTTTTATTCTAATATATTAATACATGTTTTTAGTTTTTTTAGATTCTTATAGTAAGAATAAAAAAAGTGTAAAAACTTTTGGATATTAAAAGACAAAAAAAAATATTATGCATATTTTTTTTATTTTTTTAAATTATAAATTATATTAAAATAAATATAAAAAAGTATATTTTTAAAAAAAAATTTCAAGCAAAGCAATAATTTAAAAAAAGATAATTTGTAAAGAAGTTAATATTGAAAAAGTAATATTTTTTATAATTAAAAAATAGAAATATAAAGTTTTGAAAATAATATATTTTGTAAGTATCTTTAAATATTTTTGAATATGATTTATTTTAATAAAAATTAAACAGTTGATTAATTACAGATAATAAGAAATAGGTATATTAACAATTATAAACAGCATTAAATTTTATCAAAGAAATAAATTTTTAATATTAATTAAAACAAATAATAACTTTTTGAATTTAATTTAATTATTTTATATACTGTATATGTATATACAATTTATTTTAATTCTATTGTAAAATTCAGAATCTTGATTTTATTCAATAAATAAATAATGCATCACTCCTATAAATCATATCTATGTTGTTAATAGATAAGTTGAGCTGAGAAGATTTATACAATATACAGTATTTATTTCTTATATTTGTAATGATGATCCAATAAAATTTAATAAACACACACTATTGATTGTCAGTTAAAAAAATGGCAATTGTATCTGACATACTCAATACTTTTTTTTTGCTAGTCTAAACTATCTCTATTAATACCAATCTGTAGCGTAACAAAATAATCAATATTAATCTTGTGAAGCTATGCAGAAACTTTTTGCTTGCATTCCACAAGCCTGAAGTCGTTTTTTTTATTCAATACTTACTTTGTTTGTTTGCTTAAGTCTCATTTGACACCATTTCAAACAGCAACACGTAGATTTCTTCCAAAATTTTGTTATATTACAACAAAACAGGGACATCTTACGTAATAATTATCTTGATAACTAAAATTCAGAATAGTTACCGCGCAGATATTCGCAATTCAGTAGTTAATCGATCGTGCAGTCGTGGGAATTTTTATTGATGCAACCAACAACGGAATTGATTAAGAGAGAAGCCATTTAAACATGTAGACTTTAACCAAATCCATGAATGAGAGTTCCGACTTATGCTTGATGCTTAGTTTTAATATGCTCATATGCTGATAAATAATAATAAAAAGTGTTGATTAAAACTTCACCTGTGCAGTCCACAAAAAAAAAAAGAACCACGTCATTATTTCACGTGACTATAGGATAAAAAAATTTTTTTAACAACTGAATTTCATATTCAGTCTTTCATTTTAATCAGGATATGTTAAAAAAATTATTTATATAGTGAACCTTTTCTAAATACATTTCCTTGAAACAGAAAAATTTTAAAAAAATATGCATTTAAAGAGGATACGCATTTATGGAAAGGATTTATTAAGAATTTTATGTACTTGTGATCAAGCTTGATCATGCATTTAGAAAGAGAAAACATAGTAAGTGCATTTAAGGAGGGTTCTCTGTGTTCACATAAAGAAGGCGTATATACTGTAATATTAGTAAGTCGTCGTCCGGGTTTGACCACGAAAGAAAGACTGCAGCAAAAAAGTTGCTTGCAACCTATGTAAGAGATAAAGTAAAATGTGCAAAATTGCTTGATTCTCACTCGGCTAGAAAAGATATTCTCCAAACAGGGTAAGAGTCGTGTGTTATTCAACCATGTATAAAAGATATTCTCCAAACAGGGTAAGAGTCGTGTGTTATTCAACCATGTATTTTTGTTTAATAAATAGAATATTACAAGAACAACGGATCAATCAGTAACTATTCCAATATGTCTTTCTAGCCAAGTTGAAACGGGCTTTTTTATTGTGAGTTCACAAGGCAGTAAACGTGATCATGATTCTGAAGACGAAGATTACAGTACATTGCGGATTAAGCTATCACCGGAGTTAACATTCGAAAAAAGTTCACGGAGTAACAGCCGGAAACAAAGTTACCGAAACAAGACCAGAATATTACGACGTAATTTTGTTCAATGCCCTAGACAATTTTTTTGTCTAATAAAATATACTATACGTAACTAATTATAATTTATGCAGGATAGGGTTGATGGAGGGCACAAATTTGCTTCTCGAATCTATATCCGAAGGAACTTACATCATTAGTGTATTAGGGCCAATTATGAATAAATAAAAATAAATATGGAGAAACTTGTCTCAGAGTAAATGCAATTATTTCCTTGAAATAGGAAGACGAAGAATTTTTAGTCGTTAAAGTAAGTGGCTCTCCTTCAGAACAAGATTGGACGCATTTTAAAGTCAATCGAATGATGGTTGTTAAGATGTTGAAGACCTTAATGAATCGATTTGCCGTACTTTGTCCTAATTCTGATATTCGAGAGATTAAGCTGTATGCAATGCAGTCATATTGTAAGTTTTTATTTCGCTTGTTATCTACGTGTTACTAACTTGACATTGAGCTTATTATTTACGAATTCCGACTTAAGTATGCTGAAATTTACACGATGTTAGAAAACAAGAACCGTCTAAAACTTTTGAAACTTGGTTTTTTTGTACAGCTTCTAGCGAACACGCATATTTTAAAAATTCAATGAAATCTTTATCACATTTTTTTGTAAAGCATTAGTAAATGAAAAATAATAAAGCATGGTTTCAAGCATAAATGCCTATCGAGCCTTTACCCACATTATGTCAGTTCTTCCTCGCTACTCTACTATACTAACCATTATTAATTACTTCACTCGCGTGTCCATTACTTAGTGCAACCATTGTTATTCAAAATCATTATTTTTGCAAGAAAAGGGATAAATGGACAGTTCCTGCTATAACTGCGCAGTTAAATATATTTGAAATATACAGTAAGTACGCATATATGGTGATATTTTAGATTAAGTATAAAAAAACCAAAAATTTGCAATGCGATTGCAGAATGAATGGTCAGTAATTTTTTCTGACTTCGGGTGACGTTATTGCAAAATCAAAAGCATTGAACCAAAAGGATTACTGCAAGGACAAACCTTTATATGGTTTACATTTCAGAAAGGAATTTGTATTCCCATCAACGCTTGGATAACTGGAAGAAATCGAAAGACAAAAAATATCTTCATAATCTGCAAACCCCACAACTTATATTTTTCTCATTCGTGACACGATTCGCCTGCGACATCTCACTCGGATATGGAGATTATAAAAATCGTACATACGAATATTTTTTTTGAAGTGATTAGAACACATTCTTCTATAGTAAAGTCAAATACATCATGCATAACAATTTTTCTTACGTGATAGCCCGGAAATTACAGAAGATAAAGCCTTGGCTTGATTTTGAGCCGATTTGCACGTAATTTTCTTCTCCTTGTGTATTTCCTAATCTTATCACTAGTATTTTTCTTATTGACCTCATCTAAGAAAGCATCTATCTTCATTTCTTGGTGTTGATATTGTAGTTTTTATATTAAGGCTTACACTTCATAAGAGAGATTGTCCTGACTGCTTAAAATTTTGTTCCAACTTTTGCTTTAAGTTTAGCATTCTCAGCATCACACCTGGTGTCCTTGGCACCCTTAGCCATTATTCATGCGAAAAATAAAATAAATACAAGTGTTGTAAACGTAGTTCACCAGTACATAAAGTTTCAATGCTAAGATTTATTTGTTTCTAAATTTTAATTCGTTTTTGTTGCAAGATCATCTGATGACCTTGCCATTTTTATTTCTCTCTACATTTAATCCTGTTTTTGTACCTCGTTCAATGGCCAAACAGTATGGCCCGTGAACCATTTCAACAATATCTATCGATTTGATAGTTTGAATTTCAACCTATCTTGGTCATCAAGTGAGCACCATTCTTTCTCATCTGCAATGATCCAGAATACCTTACCCACAAATATATCTCACCTGTCTTACGCTCAAGTTTTACGGCATTTTGAGAATACCCTGTAAAAAAATTCATCCTTTACGCCAACATTTTTTGTGATTTATTTCGAAATCAACTGGCTCATTATCCATTGGGTCCTATGATATTTTTTTTCTGATAGGTGCTCTAATTTGCCCTTCTCAAGAGTTGTGTGCTCGAATATTTACGGTCCACTTAAATGATTAGGCGTTTCAGAACTTAACAACGTCAAAACCTGTTAAAGCAAAAAATAAAATTTTTCATGACAGACTTGCTAAGCGATTCCTCCAACAACGCGATTCAGTTAAATATTTTGTTCGCGGCTCGAATTGATGAAGTTTTTCGATTTCTTTTATTGCTTATCTGCGATAATCCTAAGAAATTTGCTCATGAATTATTGTTTAATATACAATTGTATATACAGTATACAGTCTGATGCAACCTTTTTTAATCTATAAGAAACAGTATACATCGTAAAAAATTTAAAAAATATTTTTTTTATTAATTGACATTTTTTTTTATAATTGAAACATGATTTTACAATCCATTCTTACTGTTTACAATAAAAGTTTTTGCTTAATTTCAAATCAATTTTCATAAAAAAAAAAATTATTAATTTATTATGAAAAAATGTTTGTTTATATCTTATTCAAATAACAATGATTTATTAACTTGTAATAAAAATAAATAAATAAATTATGAATTATTCAAATAAAAAATTGGTATTCATCAATAAATAAATAAATATAAATATATATATACTATATACAGTATATCTATATTTATTTATATAAATGATTTCATTAGCTATATAATAATAATAAAATATATCTGGTAAATAAAAAATTTTTTATTTATGCTTTTATCATTATATAATATATTAAATATGTAATTATAATATTAATTATAATATCATATAAATTAAAATTTTTTTATAAAAATATATAGTATATATACAATATGGGACACTTGCTTTTGGAAAAATTTTATTGATTATAATTTAATAAAAAATTTTATCAATATAATATAAAAATTGAACTATTTGTTTTTTTAAATATTTAAAAATCATTTATTAAAGTTTATTTAATAATTTAATAATAAATTTATTATAAAATTTTGTTTTAAAATTAAAAAAAATTATTTTAAAAAATTCATTATAAAATTTTTATATAAATTTATATATTTTATTTAATAATAAAATTTAATAAATAAATAAACAATTTTATCTTATAATTTTAATATAATAAAAAAAAACTCTTACCTATTTATCACTAATTGTTAAAAAATTTTCTTTTATAATAATTTCTCTTGAAAAAGTGCTTACTACTCTCTCAATATATCATTTATACCATAATTTTAAAAACATAAGGACTTTAAGAACCACTGTTATATCAAGATAAAACCTTTGAGCAAAGACTAAACAAGTTTAAAAGTCTCGCTTGTCTTTTGTTTGCATGAAAAAAAACTTATAGCAGTTCTTCTTTATAAATCTGTCTGTTTTTATCTTTCACCATTAATATCGATTATTGTTATTTTTTCATTGTATTTCAATATTATGAACCCACTTTTCAAGTCATACTTAAGCAAAGTTTTTGGATTTCTTACTTGTTTTAACTAAATCTCAACTTTCTCAATTATTTCCCATCTGACACATAATATTGTATCAATTCACTATATATAAAAAAATTTTCTCAAACACAAAAACCAAAACCAGCTTTACCTCTCTAAACAATTATTATATCAA